CAATGGATACAGGGAAAATAACAAATCGTACCGTTGAAAGATTTTATAACAATTATATAAATACAGGATGTACCTACTGTCCTAAAAAACGTTAGGATCCTTAATAATATTATAGTGATGAAAATGGCGTTATTCTTCAACAGTCATTGGAGGGACATGAAAAATGGTACTCATATTACACAACACGATTTTGTATATTCAATGATCCTACAAGGAGTAGTGGAAATATAACACCCTAGGTTGTAACTGTCAAAATACTATATTAGATATGGTTTATGGTTTTAAAACAATAAAACATACGATGGTATCAATTGGTATGTGAGAAGGAAGATGTATGTTCTGAGCCACCTAATGTACAGTGGTCACACATTTCACAAATATCGTAATGTATAAATAGATGCAATATAAGACTATTGATAAGTACTTTAAATCCATAACAGCTGATTGGCTTCATCCAAAAAACTGTTATAGATTGCGCGGTAAACTCACGTCAACGTCAACTACTAAATTTGAACTGCCATCATTTATACATTTTAGGTATCTATCATATTATTATGATGCCATTACGAAGATATTAAAAACTATCAAAATTATTAGTTACATTATATAATTAAAAGTAGAATGAAAGTACCTATTTAGACATTGCATTAATCATAACGAATTCTCAGACTATCACAATAACTTAATCCGTAATAAATCTGAACTTACGCATCATTGTACTTAAGCATATTTTATAAATACCTATTTGAAACGTTCAAAATTATATAGCTTTATTCTAGTAATAGAGGAATGTAGCGAACCTCGTCTTCGTCATTAAACTAGTAGTAATGTTGGAATATTGTTAATGTAGCACAATGTTTTAAAATACTTAATAATTGTATTATGATACATGCCACTATGCCAGCGTTTCCCAAACTCTTGTTTGGGCTTGCCCGGTAATTTATATTTTTCACCTTCGTGACCCACCAAAATATTTTACATTTATCATTATGTAATAAAACGCAAAATAAAACACATTTGAATCATCTCTCCCGTCTATTTGACTTCTACTTCATACTTAACAGTTTAAATTATCAAACGAAAATGATAAATAACAAATTTAATGTGAGAATTTCATTAAATTCTGCGACCCGGTACTACATTTTGATGGCCCGTTAGTGGGTCGCGACCCACTATTTGGGAAACGCTGATACATGCAAATAAAATATTTGGGATAAATAAAGTCAAAAGAGTTATTGTCAGTATTGTAAAAAGATTGCCAAATTAGCAAAATCTATGGGGTGGCGTGATCTAGAAACTAGGTATCTATAATAATAAGACGAAGGACAGACATTAGTCTGGAGGAACCTCATTTGTTCACAAGACAAGTATTTAGAATCGTCGACTAAAATTATTAAAATTGTTAAAAGCATAGACGGAGATCCTTTGAAATATTGAGGGGGGCTCAAATAGTTGGTAGCAAACAAACCCGTGGGGGCTTTGCTCCCCACACCTCCAATACTTTTTTTTTATTTAATAACTCATTAAAATAATTAAAAATTCTCATTATTATACCTACTAATTAGAATACTCACAAAAAAGGAAAAATGAATAAAATACAATTGCCATTTTTAACTTAATTGTATTAACCTATTACACTTTTTTTCAAATATATTTAAAATAGTGTCATTTAGTAACGATTTAGTTTTATCTTTTTCAATGTATAAGATTGATAGTTCATTAAATTTTTTTTTTGTATTGATGTCCTTAACCAAGTTTTAATTTTCCTCATAGCAGAAAAACTTCTTTCGCATGTAGCAGAATTAATTGGCAGTGTTAAAGCTAGTTGGAGCATTTTACAAAAATTAGGAAAGACTTGAGGTGTAATATTCTTTTTAATATCTTCAATATCGCCTATTTCAGGTCCAACTAGGTAGTTCTTAGCAACCATCATTTCTGACTTTAGACTTTGTTGACAAATATTCAAAACCTGTAAACCCTATAGAGTAAACATTTTATTTATAATTTTATATATTAATTTAGTACCTACTGAATATTTATAAAATAATATACAAAATACCTTATAATGATCAATGAACTGAGTACTTCCATCATTATTTAGTTTAATAAATTCATCAACACCAACAGCAAAGGACAAGTTTTCATTGGAAAACCGTTTTTTTAAATTTACAACTACAGAGTCAAGTACTTTAAAATATATATTTATTCTTAAATAATCTTTAGCTAAAATAGTTTCTATATCCACTGCCTCAGAAGTAAATATACCTAGTATGACGTTTAGCGTTTAGCACGTTTATGTGTGATACTAGTCCTTATTAATTAGTAAATATAGTTTTTGGATCCAAACAAAAACAAATTTACTTATAAATTTGATGTAAAATTCTTATTTTTTACAGTTTAGGTATTTATTTAATAATAATAATAATAAATTATCCCTAAAACATTCTGTAATCTGTATAAAAGTATGTTTTTGTTTCTTAAATTTGTAGGGGGGCTTGAACTTCAAATTATTTATTTTGGGGGGGGGGGGGGCTAAGTCCCTGTAAATACCTACCTATTTTGGTCATACAGTTACTAAAGTATGTTTTGTCTTGAACATTTATTGATTACAGAAAGTTTGCTCTTAAATATGTCTACCGAAAAATTTGATATGGAAAGGTATAAACAATTAAATAACATTACAGATATAATCATGGTTAATTTATTTTTAAAATTAGCAATGCAAAATAATATTTTAATGCCATTTATAAAAAACCAACTTCTATTAAATATTTTAAAACATACAAAATCAAATCTAAAAGTTGACTTGCTGGCGAAAATGCTTTTGGAACTTGTTGGCTTTAACTCCTAATTGCATGTACATTTTTGTTTGGACTTGTTTCATAACTTTCAAATCTCTGGCTTTCCTGTAAAAACATGTGAAAGTAATTAAATAAAAAAAAAAAATTGTAACTAATTGTAAGGTCTTAGAATATAGGAGAATATTTCCTAAACTAGTTGAAAAATAAGATGTCAAAATATGGTCTTATTGAGCTATTCCTCCACCATACCACTGAGTTCTATAAGACCATGTGATTTATATGTCATCATTAGAGTACGGATTTGTATGCATTTACATATTTGTAATGAGTGTATGCATTTCGATGGGAGTAAGAAATGTGGACGATTTGTGTAACTGATTTTGCATATAAATGCATATTTTAGAGATGATTGCATATTTGAAAATTTTTGCATATTCAAGCATATTTTGTGTAAAAGTTTATTAAGCCAATTATTTTGTTTCAATTTCATCGTTGAAATTATTAGTTCATTAAGTATTTTAGGGAAATAAATGTTATTCTCCGTATGTTATTGCCAGTAAATTGTGCACAAGTGCCCATATATCATTTCATAATTCGCGTTCCGTAAATTTATAAATTAAAATTTTCATTTCATTACAATTTATACATTTTGAAATGCCGAAAAGTCGAAGCACTATTCCAACTTTAAAAAACATGGATTGCCCTTTATTAAATATTTACTGTTCTTTAATAAATGTTTAAAGTCAATGTCTATAATTAAAAAATTAAGTTTATCTAATTTTGTTGAATTATTAATTATGGAAGAAATTAAAAAAAAAATATTAAAATGCATATTATATTTTGGGTATAAGAGCATATTTTGGCATATTATTAAAAAAAATAAGAGCATATCAAGTGCATATTTTGAAGTTTACTGATGCATAAATGCATACTATTTTAGCCTTTATGAGTGCATACAAATCCGGACTTTAGTCATCATAATATACCAAACAGTTATATTTGACTACTTTACTGTATGGTTAAATTAAGTACGAATTAATTTGGAAAATAAAAATAAAATTCTTAATGAATCTTGACTTTTATGTTAAATGTAGAAAAGTAAAAATTGTATCATTAGTTTTATTTAAACTGTAATCATACCTTTTTTGTTTGTTTTCTTTTTTATGTTAAAAATAATAATTTAAAAAGTACATATTTTTTATTTTAACTCGTCAAAATCATGTTGATAAAATATACTGCAGTTGGTCATGTTTTAGAAAACATACATATTATAAGTAAACTTAAATAGTTTAGTTGATAATAGTACTTAGGTGACTTAATAAGTGCATACCAAGTAAATTAGCATTAATGTGTATGTCACATGCGAGTATAATCTATAAATATTGTGGATTGTTTTTAATAGGTGAATATTAATGGGTATCATTAACAAGTGAACTATATTTAAACCAAAGTAATTTTTATTTTTTCATATACTGTTTTCATATAAAATATTGTTTACGTTCATTGATAATATATCAGTTGAAGAATAAATATAGAAAATTGCTTTGATTGACATATAGTTAACAGGTTACCTTATAAATAAAAAACAGTCTAACAAAAGTCCTAGTTATGTCAGGCAATCAATCCAGGTCTAAATACTATATTTTTGAATTACTGCAGTAAAAATTTCTTTTACTTGACTAGCTGCATTTTAATTGAATTAGATTTTTACCTAGCAGCAGCAGCAGGGAAAGTTCCTGTCCATCCGATATGTCTGTAATGATTGATTACTTTGTTCAGTTTTGTTTCCTTCAAGGCTTCCCAATCATGATTTGGATTCAAATTTTGTCTAAAATTAATACATTATATAAATCTATATTGTGATAGATCTTAGTCAATTTAAAAAAATTTATTTTATTGCTTCATCTGTACCTGTAATATCGCATTAATGATCGTTTTCCAATTCTAGCTCCAGAAGGAAGAATTAATTGAGAGGTAACATCTTCAACAATACGATAATCATCTACAGGTGTGTCTGCTGGATAACTAGATGAATAGTCGTAAAAGTCGGAGTATTCAAGTAATGCCTCACCTTCATGAATCATTTTAGTATGACCTAAAATTATTTAAAATAAAATAGTATTATTTGCATTAGCTTATTAAGACCATATTTCATTGTGAATATACCTTTATCAATCATGTGAGCTTGTGCAGACTCTATCGAATGGAAATTTTTTCCAGAATCATTACACCATAAACACATAAATCCTTGACATACCTTTTCTCCTAAATATACCAATAATCCTTTCATATCGACCAGATACTCAATATCAGGTATGAAAAATGAATGCATATCAGACATGTGTTTAATATTTTGCAATAAGTTTTCACTACTCTGGGGGCAGAATAAACATATATTGTTGACTATAGGGTTATTTTCGCTGACAACTTCACCCCATTCTTCATCTTCATCTTCATCTACATCTTCATACTCATCATCGCTTTCTTCAACAGGTTTATTCTCAGCTGGTTTAACTATTTTCTTGGCAGCTGGTACACCAATATCTTTATGTTCATTGTCTGATTGCAACGATAAAGTTTTATGCTGCTTAGAAGATAAGTGGCTGTCAAAAGACTTTTGAGAATTATAGGATTTCCTGCAAATGGTGCAATAAATCGAACTCTTAGCATTTTCTTCATTCTCCTTGATCTGTTGACTCAGTATTCGGGATTCTAATGTTGGCCGATCAACAGGTAGAAGATTTATGATTTTTCTTTTCAGGTTATAACGATGCCAGTCTGTTTTATAGTGTACGCGATGTGTATCACCAGTTTCAAACACAATTTGACATGTAACACATGTCAATGCCCCTTGATACGGGGAACTCATTTTTCTAAAAAAATTTTATTACCATAATTAGTTTAAATCATATTATAATAGGTACCTATAAGGCATTGAAATATTATGTTGTTTAAAACAAGTTTTAAAATACTAACATTTTCAAAATATTTTCATTGATTAGATATTATATATAATACTGTGCCAACTGTACAATATAAACAATAGTATTGTGTAAACAATATTTAAAGACGCAACATATACGTTTAATCAACTATTCTAAGGATACCAAGTTAAAAAAAAGTAAATTGGGTACATCTCTTTTGTTTTTATATGGCATAAGGATCTTATTTCAATTAACAAGAGCCTAATAGTTTACCAACATGTCATTTTGATATTGATATATGTGTTTTAATAGTTATACACTTATACCAACAGCGACAGCAGCTGATAGGAAAAAAATGATTTAGTCAAGCACATCAAGATTTTAACACAAAAATGCATAAGTACTCAGAAGTATTTCCTACTTTTATCTGTGATCAAGACATTAAGTTAAGATGTTGAGCCTTTGTAGATACGACCTATATTAAGCACATCCATTAGGGTTATTAAACAAGAAACATTAAACAATAATAAATTTGTTAAATAATTATTTACAAGCAGAAGTCTAACCACGATCAACAATCACTTACTTTAGTAATTAACTTACAGACGTCCAGCAGCCGACACCAGGCCTAGTCAACTTATAGCTGTGAATTCGATGACTTTGATATTAGTTCAGAAGAGAAACAATCGCTACGCTAGGGTCGTATCTCATGGAACAACTGACTAAAATTTAGCATTTATGTTCGTTTACTCCATGACAGAAGAATTTTATAACCTCATAAAAGTGAAATATCAAAACATCCATAACCTAAGTCAAACACGAGTGGATCAAAACCACCCTATTCCATGCACATTATTATCACTTATTATCGATTCTCCGTTATCACTATAACATAAAACAATTTTCGGTTGATGCTCTTATCATTTAAACAACTACAAAAAATTAAATATACTATTACCTTCTACTTTTTAGTACTGTTTTATATAATTAATAACTTTTTATTGATGCAATTTAATATATATTAATAATATTGGTGCAATATGGACAAAAATATAAAACAAAAAGGTGAAAACTGTTGCCATATATGCAAGAAAAATTTCGCTAGACCAACCACATTACGCAGACATATTGACGATATACATAAAACGCC